GAGTCAATTATGTGATAAAAGTTTCTCTGTATCTTTTGATTCACAAAAATGTCTTATTTAACATAAAAATTATGAACATTTTAAAATAATAGGATTTAGAGTAAACAATATATACAAGATAAAATTAGAGAAAAATATGAGTTATTTTCAATGACTTGAGTGAAGATGATGAATTATGGTTATGAAATAAAATAATTTCTCACATAAACATGGGACACTTAAATACATTAATCTCAAAAGATTTAGAAATAGGATTACCGAAAATTAAATTTTAGAAAAATAAACTTTGTGATGCATGACAATAGAGGAATCAATTCATGTTATATTTGATGAAACTAACCTTGTTTGTCCAAGAAAAGATATTATTGATGATATTGTAGAAAGCTTTGAAGACACTCATATTCATGAGCAAACTCAAAAGGACAAAGAAGATGAAGGAATGGAGGATTCTATAATTCAAGAGAATCAAACAAACATGATTCCTCAAAGAGAGTTGAGAATCTCAAGAAATCATCCTCTTGAAAATATCATTGGAGACATATCAAAAGAGGTAACTACTAGATACTCTCTCAAAGAAGCATGCAATAATTTGGTTTTGTTTCTAAAATAGAATTTAAAAATCATTGATGAAGCCTTAAATGATGAACCTTGGATAAATGCTATGCAAGAAGACTTAAATCAATTTGAGAGAAATCAAGTATGGAAACTAGTCCCTAGACCATATAATCATCCAATTATTATAACCAAATGGGTATTTAGAAATAAATTAAATGAACATGGTATAATTATAAGAGACAAATCTAGACTAGTTGCTAAAGGATATAATCAAGAAGAAGGCATAGATTATGAAGAAACATATGCACTTGTAGCAAGACTAGAAAGCATTAAAATGTTAATAGCCTATGCATCTATAATGAATTTCAAACTATATTAAATGGATGTCAAAAGTGCATTTCTAAATGAGGTTATTCAAGAAGAAGTATATGTTGAACAACCTTCTAGATTTAAAAAACTCATAATTTCCAAACCATGTCTTTAAGTTGAAAAAGGTTGATACAACATTAATTTATCAAAAGAAAAATGAATGATATTCTTATAGTACAAATTTATGTTGATGATTTATTTTTAGAGCTACTAATGATCACTTGTGCAAAGAGTTTTTTAATGATATGCAAAGTAAATTTGAAATGTCCATGATGGGCGAGTTAATTTTTTCCTTGGACTACAAATAAGGCAAACCAAAATTGAATTTTTTTTAAAATCAAAAGCAAAAATAGTATGAATTTACACAAAAAGTTTGGAATGGAAAATTTTTGGCTTGCTCTTTACCTTTGGATTATTTTGTTATTCTATTCATTTTGATGTTGCAAAAGGGGGAGAGAAAGAATAAGGATCACAAAAGGAAAAAGACCACATTTATCTTAATACTCTAGGCTTTTTGATGTTGCCAAAGGGAGAGAGATAAGACCGCAAAGGAAAAGAAAATGTTTATTTTTTTTCTCACTACAAAAAAAAGTCAATTTAGCCACCGAAATTGGCGATCAATTTTTTTCCGTCGCTAATAGCGACAAAATTAGCGACCGAATCCTTATTAGCGATGGATTTGCAAGGCATTTGTGAGGGTCTAAGTTCCTCGCTAAATAAGCACTAACTTTAGTGAAGGATTTGTGACGAGATAAAGGTTGGTCGCAAAATGATCACTATTTAGCGAGAAAATTTAGCGAGGGATATAAATCCAAGAATTGTAGAGCCAAGAGATAACCACATTGTTCCCACGAATCCATGCAGGATATGTAGGATCATCAGCGGCAAGTTTTGGAAGGGAACCATCAACAAACAGAATCTTGTTCTTCATGGAGAGAGCCACCAACATAGCATGACTCCAGGTTGTGTAATTTTTGTTATCAATTAGCTGAGAGGTGAGAACAAGGCCAGGGCCATTGGAATGATGAAGGAAAAGAGGATTGGTTGGATCTAAGGTAGGATCTTTGGTAGTTTCTGCCATGGAAGCAAGGAACCATAGGTCCAAGAAAGATGAAAGGAAATGAAAGGATAAAGAATTGTAAGTATATCCTTCTGATACCATATTGATGCTATCACAATGATGATAACTCAAGAATGAAGAAGAGAAAACAAATATTGTTGCAATCTGATATAGAGAATGAGAAAAACCTGAAGATGAAATTACCAAGCTATCCCTTAAATACATAAGGCTAAAGAAAACTAACTAATTACAAACTAAATAACGGCTAACCAAAAAAATAAAAACTAACTAAATTATATATTTACAGCATAAATACAATTGTATATTCTAATATATATATATATATACACGTTGAGCACGTTAAACGCTTTATGCATAAAAGACATTAAGTTGATAGATTATAATTTTTGTGTAAGTCTTAGATGCTTGATAATCAAAATGTAATTTTTACATAGTTATTTCGTAAAATTTATATTACAAGATTTTAATAAATTTTGTTATCAAAATATTATTTTGGGAAGGCACTTAATAAGCATTTGATTCTAACAATTAGTAACTACATGTGTTCCGGCCAAAGGGTGGACTAGGGTTTCTTCCTAGGTCAAGCCTCAAAGCTAGAGCATTCAAAAGTGTAATCTGCCCTCTTAATTCTAGGGTTTTAGGTTTTATAGTTTCTAGTTCGTGGGCCTCCTGGGCCCCGAGAATTTGGGGATCTCATTAACCGTTCTTATTTCAAAGATATTTGACAAGCAAGGGAAAATTAAGTCGGGTCTTGACCGACTAGGTCCGTTCCGAGGATCTAATTGGGTGTTGGCCGAGAGGGTCCTTATAGGCAAGAGAGATTGGAATGAGGCCGATATGGCTTAGACAAAGAAACCAGCCGGCTATATGCCGACTCACTCTAAGAGAGTGAGTCGGTCAAGTTTACAGTTGGGTGACCATATGGGAAGAGATCAGATCGGAATTCGACTTGGACAGTACACGCGTTTGTAGTCGGCCTCGTGCGTATATGAGATACCAGCCGGATAACGACCGGGACGGTCCACTTGCCTTCCAGCCTTGAGGCTATAAGGCGAAGAGGCTTAAGGTGTAGCCCTTGTAGACCGAGATACCTTGCATGTGGTTTTTGTATGAGAGCTAAGTCGGTTAGCGACCGAGTGACTCTTAGGGAAAGGATGGGTCGAGGTTGTAGTCGGCGTCGCGCGAGGCGTCGCGCGAGTAGGATATACCAGTCGGACAACGACCGGGACGGTCCACTTGCCTTCCAGCCTTGAGGCTATAAGGCGAAGAGGCTTAAGGTGTAGCCCATATAGACCGTTTCGGGAATAAAGCGATATAGCTGGTGCGCCTGTCGCCTCGATTCTTGGATCCTCGAGACTTGACAAGAGATGTCCCCTCACCTGGCCAACGAAGGGTCATGCATTTATTGCAAAGCCGGCATTGCAGGAGGTAAATTATGACAGTGCCACGTGGAGGTGTGTGCCATTAAAGTTAAAGGTGTGAGGCCCCCCAGGGTTAGGGGTTCCAACGTCTTACGCGCGTTGTGACCCTTTGGTCTCCCCTCTCACGTGCGCGTTGTGACTGTTGGATCCTACCCTTCACACGCGGCCTTTCAACCCTATAAATATAAGTCAGTTGGCAAATTTTGATTTCATTTTTGCCTCCTACTTCGCGCGCCCTCTTCTCCGGTGATCGTTTTTGCCTCCTTGTGGTCTGCGGTGGTGCGCGGCGGTTCTGTGCTTGTGTTGGGTAGGAGAAGGTGGTGAGGGAAAAACCCTAGGTACGCGCATCTATCCCCTCGTCTTGGTAGCTTTTATTTTGAAGCCAAATCCTCCCTCCGTTGCTAGTAAAGCTAGGGTTTATTTATAAAATGGCCAGAGTAAGTTATGGAGATTTGTATAAATGGGTTAGAGATGATGTGTTAAGTTGTGATTCGTCCCTGAATTCTTGTGCTGCCATGGATGGCTTTTGCCGAGAGCATGTAGTATGTAGTGTAGGTGATAATGTTATTATTTGCGAGCCATGTGTAGATAAGGAACCTGTCTGCGTTAGTGGCCCTAGCGCCCCCCCTTAGAGCGTTTCGCATTTTGTTATGGTTTTAAAAATATATTTATATGCTGAGATTTTTAAATTAAAATTTATAAAAATAAATATTAGCTAATTTTTAAATATTTAATAATATTTAAAATTAATATTAGATAATATTTAATAATTTAAATAATATTTTTAAATATTCAATAATTAAAAAATGAAAAGATAAGAGATAAGATAAAATATATATAAGTGAAATAAAAAGAGAGAAAAAATATGAGGAATTTCAAATTCTTACTTTTGTGGGAGAATTTGAAATTTTACTAATTCAACGACTTTTACAAATATTTGAATTTCAAATTCTTTATAAATTCTCCATCCAAACAACGTATTTCACCTCAAATAATTTGAAATTCTTCAAGTAAATGAATTACTTCATTTAAATTACTCATCCAAACACACTATAAAACAATTTGCAAGGGATTTATTCTCTAAATTTGTGAGGGGTTTAATAGCAATTTGCGAGGGTCTTGTTCTCTAAAGTTGTGAGACATTTGTGAGGGTTTTGCAAGCAACGTAATCTCTTATTTGCAAGGGATTAGCGAAAATCCTTTTCTCTCCTTAATTTGCGAAGGATTTGCGAATAATTTGCAAGGGATATACTTATAACTTATTAGCGATGGATTTGCAAGGCATTTGTGAGGGTCTAAGTTCCTCGCTAAATAAGCACTAACTTTAGTGAAGGATTTGTGACGAGATAAAGGTTGGTCGCAAAATGATCACTATTTAGCGAGAAAATTTAGCGAGGGATATAAATCCAAGCTATTTGCTCGCTAATTCGCGAGGGACTGGCAAGGAACATAATTCCTCTCTACTCCCTCGCTAATTGGTGATGGATTTGCGAGGAATAAAATCTATTGAACATGAATAGGACAAAATGTTTTTTTTTATGTGTTATCCATATATGTAAATTATGATTTCTTTTAAAAAAAAAACACAGGTGTGCTATTATTTATTAAGATGTATGGAATCAAACTAGACTCACAAAAGAACAGTACAGGAAAGATTAAGAAAAAGTAAACAAGACACAAAATAAAGAGGAACTCTAGTACAAAAGTCCAAAACTAGCCGTCCAAAACAGACCAGCTAGTAAAACCAAGACTAATACCATCCAACACATGATGCAGCAAAAGAACCCAATCGACTTAGTAATTACAACAAACAACAGAACTATTTTATGACTGAAACAAGTCATTCGTAATTAAGGCATTAAATTTATGACTGAAACAAGCTATTCGTAAATTCTAAAATATTTTTATAAGAACTTCCACCCTCACCAGTGGCTTTTATAGCCAAAGTCTTCCATTGAAGGACATTGTTCTTCATCTCTTTGCCTTTTTCACTCTTCATTACTTCCTCTATGCAGTGCTTAAGTGCCTCTCGTTGCACAATCTTGTTGTCATCAACTGGAGCCTTAATTCCAATCTTCCAAACATCTTTCATAAGCTTTGCATTCGTACTTTGATCTGACCAATATGGTATTACAATTGTGGGGACTCCTAAACATAAAGTTTCTAATGTGGAATTCCAGCCACCATGTGTGACAAAGCATCCTATAGCCTCGTGAGCTAGAACTTTTAGTTGGGAGCACCATGTCACTACCAACCCTTTCTTTGATATTTTCTCAAAATCTTTAGGGAGTTTATTCTCTTCTGAAGCTCTAACTACCCACAAGAAGTAACTCGAGCACTCTCTCAAACAACAAGCCACTTCCTCCATTTGCTTCTCACCAAAAGAAGCTATACTCCCAAATGATACATAAACAACAGACCCTTTCGGCTTATCATCTAGCCATTCCACGCATTCATCACTCTTGAATTGTGTGATTCCATAATCTTCGTCATCTTCATATCTCTTGTCTAAGAACATAGATGGTATGTTTGGTCCTATGGTCCTAAATTTTGGCCAAATCTCCATGAACCAATCTATAATCTAATAAAAAAATTATTAATAACAGAACATTACATGCTAAAATTAAAAATATAAACGAGCTAGTATATGTATGCACTATGCATGTACCAAATTTTCACCTAGGTAAAAGTTATTATATTTATTAGTTCAGGGTCAAATCATACTAAATACATATGAAAATTGTTAATAATACTTTCTCTAACACTTTTTTATTATTAGTTAAAAATCACAAATTATATTAGATCCTACCACTAAATCAGGAAATAGAGTAATAGACTTATTAAATGAGATGTAAAGTTCACAAAATTTGAGATTTTTAATAAATTTTATATAGTCAATAATAAAAACATGTGGTGTGGGTGTTGTTGGGTATTTATTATCTCAAAAAAAACAAGTCATGTAATTTTAGTTACGATATTTAAAACAAATGTATTAATTTAAAAGTAAAAATTTGGCACTAAAATGAAAAGTAACTCATTTTTCTTTAGTAACTAAAAATACTATTAATCCTATATAGAACATATATAAATTTAATTAGTATCTTCTTGATAATTACCTCTTTATCCAGTTCGTAGAACGTATTGCACAGGATCCAATCAGCTTTGTCGATATTGGAGAACTGAGACACAACAAAATCAAAGAGAGTTGGATCTTGTTCATACGTAAAGAAAAAAGATGGCATGTCCTCGTGTTGAAGCTTAGGCAACTTAGGGAGTGAAATCTCATGCTCTGTGAGAGGAGCACGCAACTTTCCCAATTGAACGTGATAGTATATATTATTCACAGTCATATTTTGAGTGAGATAAGCAGCTCCAACTATTCCAAAGCTCTTGGTAACATCTAGTGCCCAAGCGAAGAACGAGTCATAAATAACACAATCAACATGGTTTTTCGATTCACCAAGTTTCTCAAGAAGTTCAGCAAAAGTTTCTTGCCCAACTTGCCAAAACCGATCTATATAGGTTTTGGGGCTCCCGGCCTGTGTGGGCCCAACGTCGTCGAACCCATCAGAAATGGTTTCGAGTGCCATAGAAGGAGGTACCTTTAGCGAATTCTTGGAGTAGAAACGAGTTGTTGCAAAAGTTATTCTCACCCCTTGATATTCCAATAGCTTGGAGAATTGAATCATGGGGTTGATGTGGCCTTGTGCTGGATATGCTAACACCAAACAGTGTGCTTTGCTTGTTGTGCTTTGCTTATCCATTTTTGTGTGGTGGGCTGAGATGACAAGGTTTGGTTTTATCAAGTTAAGGTCCAAGCCGATGATACTCGACCAATATGTATTATTATAATCTATATGTCTAATATACTTATAGTATAAGTAAGAATGAACTTATTGATAAATATTTTATCATTATTGAGTTTGTTATTCTTATTATTTTTTTCACAAGATGTCGTTTTTTAATAGAACGTTTTCGTAAGTATCTGTGTGGCTGTCGGACCTGTCACCTCCGAGTGAATTATTACATTTATATATTATTATATTTGATAAAAAGTCAAATAATACACCTCTTTATGAAGAATGCACCTCGAGGATCATTGGGCAGAGAGAAAATAGATATATATTAATATGTCATGTGATGAGAAAATGGAAAGAGAAAAGTGGAAGAAAATAGATATAATATGAGATGGGATGTGATGATATCATAAAAAAAATGTGATGAGATTATGGAAAGAGATAGAGAAAATAAATAGAATAAGAATGATTGGTAAGATACTCATATATATAAGTTTAACATTATTCTTTTTTCATTATTCAGTTAGCTTTAATATAATTTTATTTTTTTTGCAAAAGATGTTGAGGTTTTAAAGAGTGCATAGACATTTTAAGATAACTAATCCTAAAAATGAATTAAAATATATCTTAAGGAATATATTTGTTGGAGCTTTGAGAGACAAAGAGTCCTTGAGAGAGTTAAGTTATTTCTGAGATAGTCTTACATAACGTTAAGTTAGTTTATCATAAAGAAGGGTATATAAGGTTTATAAGATGTGAACCTCATAAGTTCATGTCTAAAGAAACACTAAGGAAAAGTTAAAGAGAAGTTCTCTAGAAATCAAAGATTTATTCTTCATCTTTCACATTGAATCCTTCTTCTATTTCTTTCCTACAATTGATCTGAGGTGACTAATTGAAGATTCAAGCTCTCAGAGTTATGAATCTCGAGTTAGAGTGCGAGATTACATTCATCTTCCTCATATCTTCTCAATTGACCAGGTAGATGTAAAGGAAGCTAGAAGTGATTCCTTTTTGATTTATGATGTGGAATGTTGTTTGATTTTCTTTAAATTTGTGACTATAATTTGAATGTTGAGGGTCAGAGTTTTGGTGTTCTTATGGTATATTTGAGATGAAATGCATGATTTTGAGTAATATTGTTGTTGCATGTTGAGTTTTTGGTTGGTTTTGAGTTGCTTATGAAGTTTATGAATGAATCGGTGCCTTGCATGTTGGTTTTCCTGGATTTTGAATGTGATTAAGCCAAAAATGTGAATTTGTCAAGTGCAAAATTCATCATCACACTAGCTGCAACTTCAAGGCGTTAGACGTGACATAAGTCAAAGGTTCTCTACCTCACTGACACTAAGCTTTCTACCTAGACAACGTCGTGCACTAGTTTAGTGACGCTAGATGTGAATTAGGTAGAGGCTCTATGCCTAAGATGGTTCAGGCATGGGATTAGCCATAAGAGTTCTCTACCTCATCCATGTTAGGCACAAGTAGATTGACACCAAGTGTGGGTGAGCCAAAGGCTCTGTACCTCAATGATGTCAAGCATGGGGAGACTGGTGTCGGGCATAGGTTGCTTAATGAAAATATATACATATATATATATATATTTTGCATAAGTGTTGAACATACATAGGTTAGTTGAATCTATTACATGCTATATGTTGAACTATGGTGTTACTCCTTTTACATTGATTTTGGATAATGTATATTGATGAATGAATTGTTGATAGTTGTATGTTCACATGTTGAGGTGGTTATATTGAGAATGCTTAGGGCATTAAGTTGTGTTGTGTTGATTGACTTAAAACTAGAGGAGAGGTTGTTTTAAAGTTGAATATCCTATTGTGAGGATATTGTGTTGTAGTGCTCCAAGAGCTTAGTTTGTTGAAAATCCTTCTTGAAAAGTTGACTCTTGAAATGGATTATGAGTCTCCTCTAGGACCTTAGTTAATAAGGTAAAAGGGATAGATGGAGTCATATCGTCTATAAAGTGACCATAATATAAGGGCTAGGTTGAGAAATACCAATTATAAAATGACCAATTTTAATCAGTATAGGGGCCAAGTTGAGCCAAACATGTATAAAGCGATAAAATCGAGTAAGGTACAAAGTTAGGGGTCAAAATCCCAAACTAAGTATTAGAAGAGGCATAGTTTTGAAGAGTAGTCGGCGGGTTAATCCTATAAGAGACTTAGTTATACATGCTAATTTCATGGTAGGCCCACACTCAAGCTATCCTACCTTAAAATGAACACTAGACTTTTCTAGTTTAAGTGGAGAAATACAAGAAACCATGTTATTATGGATTTTTATCCAAAAATTGATTGTCGATCTAGTTGGAATGAAAAGATGGCATTGTTGTTGGTTCGATAGGATCAAGCCACTTAGATTACTCACCTGTGTTGTAAGAGATCTCTTAGTTGAATGCATGATGACACATATAGTTGCTGTGTTACACATATGATGTGTTTATTGAGTTGTGTTGTTCGTATATTATGTCGAATGGTTGATGAGTTGCGTTGTTATTGAATGATAACTTGAGGTGTGTTTCTGTTGAGTTATTATAGTTAAAGAACATGTTGTATTGTGTTAAAAAGTTACAAGTTGACAAATTGTTGAAGTCAATTTTACTTGTATACTTATTATGTTGATTCTTTTGAATACTAGTTTAACCTTACATGTTTCCTCGTGGTTGAACTACAATGATCATATTTATATAGGAGCAAGGTATGGATAAGCTAGAGGCGATGTGATTTGAAGGCCATGTTGGGCAATGACAATGGTGATCTTTTGAGCTACTTTGATGTAGTTGATTTAGTGGGGGTTGCTTGACAAACAACTTAGAATTATTATTACAATACTTGATTATTGTTCATATTTATTTACTTGTATAGTAGTTATATTAATTTAGTCATTGATGCCAAAATTTTACATGTATATACTACCCTACACATATCGAGATATTGATTACATATTAATCTTATGTAGTTTGATGTTTGTTTCCATTACTAGTATTTGAATCATTAAGTGTAAGGACTTGGTGGGTTGTTACACTTTTATGGTACCAAAGCTAGTCAAATCTTTTGGGCTCTCTTTAAGGGTGACCCCATTAGGTTTATATTGTGAATGTTGTTTTGTTGTTGCGTGTTGTGTTGTGTTGTTATACAATGTTGCTTAATGGATTTATTGATCTTAGTATAAGATGGTTAGACCTCAATATGACCAGATGGTTAGGGACATATACAACAACAAAATGCTAATTTTACTCAAATGGAAGCGAACTGGTTTATAGTTGAAGTAGCTAGACTAGTAGTATCACAGGAGACTAGGGACTTGGCTGAGTTTAGGAAATGTTATCCTTCTCAATTCAAGGGAGATTCGAATCCAAAGGTGGCTAACCACTGGATTTGTGAGATGGAGAAAATATTCCACGTGATGGGATGCCCTAATGAGAGGAAGCTACCTTATGTTGTGTACATGTTGATTGAGAAGGTTGAGTACTACGAAAGGGTACCCAATAGATGTTGGAGACTAGGGGTGTGATGGTGGACTATGAATGCTTTAAGAGGATATTTCTTGAGAAATGCTTCTTGGATAGTGTGAGATACACCAATGAAGTTGAGTTCATAAGACTATATCAAGGAAATATGACTATTTTTGATTATGCCATGAAATTTGAGCATTTGATTCATTTATATTCTTAGGGGATTTTCGAGGCTTAGAGGTGTAGATGATTTGTAGAGGGGTTGAGACACAAGCTGAAAAAGGTGGTGTTGCCTATTGCTATCACGAAGTTTCCTTCCTTAGTAAAGAAGGCAAAGATTATAGAGAGGATTGAATGTGTTGGTGGTGGTGGAAATGTGACCAAGGGTCAAGAAAGGCCATTTGGGTCCAAGAGAGGTGAATAATAAAGAAGACCTTATGACAAACCTCCTCAACAATAAGAGAGCTTTGTTGTAAGGAGACCTTCTACTACTACTTATAGCGAAGCTTCAAGTGTCTAGTGTTACAAATATGGAGGAGCTCACTTCATTAGTGATTGTCCTCAAATGAACAAGTGTTTTAGATATGGCTAGTAAAGTGATATCTCCAGAGATTGTACCACAAGGGTTAGATAGCCTAGAGTTTCTCAAAGAGTTGAATGACCTATTATAACTAGCAGCATGTTTGCTTTATCTAAAGGCAAGGCTTTTACCTCATATGATCTAGTCAAAAAGAAAGGGAAGGTGGTTGGTAAGGATGTTTTGATCATTTTTTATTCTAGAGTTACTCACTCTTTTATTTCCATTGATTGTGTAGAGAGGTTGGGTTTGGCTAAGAGTCCACTACATGTTGATTTGACTGTGTTTACTCTTACACATATTTATTTGGTTACTTTTGAGTTGTGATAGAGGTATATGGTAGATAGTATAGGGTGAACTTGATTTGTTTTCCTATGGTGGAGATTGACATAATCTTAGGTATGAATTGGTTATCTACAAATCATATTCTTATAGATTGTTTCGAGAAAGAGTTGGTATTTTTGGAGGTTGAGAATGATGGGGTGGTGTTAGCCAAGCAAGTGGATGATTTAGTGAGGGGAGAAGCTTAGTGTTTTATGCTCTTTTCTACTTTGAGTGTTGAGTCTAAGAAGTTGATAAGTTTGATTAAAGTGATTAGAGATTTTTAGGAGCATTTCTGGATTAAGTGTGTAGGTTAACTCCTACTAGGGAAGTTGAGTTCAGTATTGACTTGGTTCCTAGTATAGTTTTAATGTCAATAGCTCCCTATAGGATAACCCTAGCTGAGTTGATTGAAAAGAAGTAGGTGGAGGATTTGTTGGAAAAATAGATAGTGAGGTGCTAATATTTTATTAGTGAAGAAGAAAGATGGTGGAGCTCGACTGTGTGTAGATTACAGATAGTTGAATAAGTTGATCATGATGAACATATATTCACTCCATAGGATAGATGACTCGATGGATTAGCTGAAAGAAGAATTAGTATTTTTCAATATTGATTTGAGATTAAAATATCACCAAATAAGGGTGAAGGATAATAACATGCTA